TCTGGGCCGTCCGTGTGCGCGGGAACGGATCTGGGCCGTCCGATCGCGCGCACGCGGATCGCCCACGTGGCCTGTCCCCTTGTCAGCGTTTCCTTGCCACGCGGCATGTCCTGGTTGGCTGGAGCTGCTGATCAGGCCGCTGACGTGGCGCAACTTTTCTAAATTGCGTTTTGACCCCCGGTTTCTGATTTTCTTTTCAAAAACACTCTCATAATCCAAAGTTTCATCCCTTTTTCCCAAAATCAATTTCAATTAAATTCAAATAATATTTTTACTAAATTTTATCATTATTATTATTTTTATTTTCATTAAATTAAATTAAATTAAATTAAATCAAATTAAATTAATTAAAAATCTAAAAAATTCAAAAAAAAAATAATAATAATAAGAATAAAAATTAAAATACTTGGGTGTTACATTTTAAATAAATCTTTTTACGTAATTGCTGTCAATTAGTTCTATTGAAGCTCAGCAAATTTTTGAAAATAAAATTTTTAGAAAAATCAGATAGATACAAACGGTGTAAGTATTTTATTTGACATTAAAAAAAAGCTCGCAAAAAATCCAAAGTAGAGAATTTCTCTGATTTTGAAGAAAGAGAAAAAAAAAATATGGTGAGATGGAAAAAAAAAAAAGGTAATCTCATAGATATTTTATTGCTGTGATATACTTAATTAATTATTTTCCATTCCATCAATATCCCTAAACTGATGCTGTTTGTTTTGATTTGGGAGATTTACAAGTACATGATTGTAATCTATTTTATTAGGAAAAAAATATAAAAATTTTAATATAAATAACAAAAATTACACAGTAAAATAAAATACAGAAATTAACTGTTTTAATAATATTAATTAAAATTTTTCATGATTTAAAATTATAATAAAAAATATATATAGAGTAAAAGATTTATAAATAATTTAAAAAGTCTAAAAAATTAAAGAAATTGAAGTGATTTATTTTTAAATTCTTTTGGAGTTAGAATACTGTGATTCTTATAGATTTTTATCATATTGTGCTCTATAACTTTAAGAATGATGCTTCAAATATCATAAAACTAATGAAGTTTGGATATTGGCATGATTTTATTTTATACTTCAAACAAATTTTGATATTGTTGATTTAAATGGTAGACGAATTTAATTTTAGAAGTCAATGATAAAAGAGTGAGAAGTACAACAATAATGTATTTTTGGAACATTCAGCAATTTTTATCATTTTCTCAAGTCTAATAATTTTTTTCTTATTTTTTCTTAATTTTTTAAATAGTGATTGTGATTGGAGTAATTCTTGAATGTATGTATGAATATTATATAATTTAGTTTTCTTAATTT